CTCGCTGAAGTGAAAGCCAGTCACAGCGCTGCATTTTGATGGGCTACCTATATGTGTTGTGTGATTGATTTTTTTTTTCTTTTATTTTCTTGCGCGATAGAATAATGCCCATTTACCAAATGCAAAAAAGGCTTATGTGTACCTTGAGAAAAGAGCGTTTTTCTCCAAACAAATTAATTAAATTTCTCCCTGAGGTCTTTCCACTTTTTTGCCACAAACCTTCATTCACAAAACTAAATGGATGTTTAAAAGAAAAAACCTGATTGAGTTTTCTTCTCAGTCAAATGAACCTAATCAAAGTGGAGACATGGAAAAAGGCAGGCACAAACAGGGATTCTGTAATTGGCCTGTTTTGCATTTTATCTCCAAGGATATTTTATTCACACGCATGCCTTATAAAGCCTAAATTGTTTCAGTTCTCAGCTGATTGCTGCTAAAACACAAAAGAGAAGAAAAAAACACTGCCCCATGCCTCCTACAGGGTTGTGCTCAACCACCTATTTCAGACTAAACTGGATTATTGACAAAAGACACAAAGCGGGAACGCCTTGGTTTTCCTGCATAATAGAGCCGTAGCGCCCTGGGAGCCGTTGCCTGGTAGTAATTGAACTTATGCCTTTGAACAGTAGCTGTTTTTAACTGGAGGCATAGTATAGAGGATGCACATGTTTGTTTATTCCAGAGATTATAGCGACGGGGTTCATGTCCCAGAATATATACATTTTCACATTTTTTTCTTTTGCCACTTATATATTTTTTTAAAGGTCAGTGCATTTGGTGAAGTATGCCAGGAGGAGTAATGGAGTTACAAATGTGTACTGAAGCAAAATCAAAGGGCTGTTTTATGTTTTGGGTGCTGCCCGAAGACTTCGATATGCATAGAAAAAGTTGAACCTCAGTGCAGCACAAGAATTTGCATGAAACACCGCCTCAGTCTGCAGCACTGGCATATGGACGTGGTTAAGGAGGAGGTGTCTGAGTGTTAGCTGCTCTCTGGGAAGAGTCGAGGCATATCTGTTTGTCACATTTCCAGGTACGAATGATTAGAATTTAGGGCTGTCACAGGTGAATATGGACTGAACTGAAACATAGTTGCCACTTCATTGTCCAGTAGACAGCGATCTGCATCACGCCAAGAACAAAAATGATTTGCAGAAAAGTACACTGTAAAAAAAAATCGTGATATAAAAGTATTTTACAGTTTTGTACTGTTCTTCTAGAATATCATTAAATTCACATAAATAGACTGATTCTATATTTCAAATGTAAATTAACGTTAAATCACTCTAAATGTAATAAAGTATAATTTTCTTGTTTTGTAAATGTATCTGTCTGTACATGAGCATATTTAGATAAAATACATTCACAAATGCATCATAATTTCACAAATATTTGTCCGTTATTTGAAAGATTGAACTGTTAAATGTAATTCTATGGAAAAATATATAAAATGATTCGTATAAACTTTTTTTACATCAAATAATAATAATTATTATTGTTATTTAGGGCGATTGTGGCTCAAGAGTTGGGAGTTCGTCTTGTAATCAGAAGGTTGCCGGTTCGAGCCCCGGCTCGGACACTCTCGGTCGTTGTGTCCTCGGGCAAGACACTTCACCTACCGCCTACTGGTGATGACCAGAGGGGAATTATAAAGTGGAATTGTAAAGCGCTTTGAGGGTCTCATAAAGCGCTATATGAATGCAATCCATTGTTATTTAAACCAACTGTGTATTTCTGTACATTTACATATTATTATTCATATTGCCACATTCATTGACCTTGTTTATAGGAAAATTTCATTGTTTAATCACATTAAATTGTTCCTAATTTAATGTTTAAAAGCACTTGAAAAAGGCAAAATCCCATGCAAAATTAGGGCAACAAACTGTATTGTCATTACTGAAAATAACCGTATTTTCATGGGAAAGTTATTTTCTGGTATTTTCTGGTATTATTTTGGCGCCCCAGCTGCCGGAATATTACCGTTTTTATAGGATTTTTTTTTTTACAGCATAATTCATTAACAGCACTGAAACCACCTCAGAGGACATTCGATTGTTGTACGAATTGGGCGCCGTGACCGAGGACTCTCAGATTTGAACGATCTGTCAAAAACAGACGGAGCTTTTCTTCCTGTTTCTCCTGCAGTGCTTTAAGTTTGCAGCTTGGTAGCGTCTTGTTAAGATTTGCTTAAACCAGAGTCATCTAAAGAGTCTGTCAAAGATCCTCATAAATCCCAGCTGGATCTCCCTGAAGCAGTCATTGAGATGTGTTAACACTGCTCAGCAAGCCTCTCTGTTAAAGTCTGCTCAAAGTACAGCCGCTGGGCCTCAAAGACCATTTCAGTCCACTTCATTTCTTTGCAGGGTTCCTGCTCACCTGCTTAGATTCAAAACTGGACACAGCTTCTGTGATTTTAGAGATGATTAAAAGTGCCGGGGAAAAGAAGAGTTCATACGAAGTTCAGATGACAGCTTTTAAATCTGGGCTGTGGGGCAATCATTTTAAAGGACTGCTATATGTATAAGTGCATCTGATTTTCAGTGCTACCCAAAGCCAAAAAGCATGTAATTCATTCACATGTGCAGTGTGCAGCTCGCTAAGAACTTATCATGAGACAGACAGGTTATTCTGACTGGTATCGACATGTTCATTTTTGGGACTTCTTGCAGAGGTAATGATACCGTGTATCGTGTCTTTGCAGCAAATATGAACTAATGGCACAATGACTGGCAAAGTAAAAGCCTTTGGTTCTGTGCAAAGGTGATACATCTCATGCTGACTCTAAAGCTCCCCAGTTAACACTTCTCACTTGTTTGATTTGTTTAAAATAAAATTTAAAAAGCTGTTTTATTTTTTAGGTTTAATTTAGGCCAATCAGCTGCTAGCTGTAGCTTCATATTTGCATATTTGGGGATCTGTCTCATTTCATTGTTTTATGTTTTATTTTGACCAGTTCTGTGCTTCGTCCAGCAGCGAGCAGATCATAGATAGTTTCTTTTTTTCTATACTAGGCCTTCTAACCTTTATTTTGACCTTACCACAGACAGGTGGTTAGGTCAAAATAATTGTCATTGCTTTTTACGAATTTGTCTAGCCTTTCAACATAAAATCTAAACTAGATTGATTTTTGTTTCACTTGAGTGGTTCTTCTATTAGGATCCTGCACAGCGACTTATTGTTTCATTTCCCTAATTTGATGTCATTTAATAGCATCTAATGAAAATTTGTCTTCATCCTACCGTCTGCCCTGGATTTCCACAGGGAGCTGACCATAACGCTTTCAACAGTTGCTCAGATTAATGAGAAACTGTGGTCTGGATCTGACCTTTTGTTGCCAAGCGCCTAAACGACTTATCCAACAGTGGCATATCCTGGCACATCCCCACAAAATACTGAATCGCTGGGGGTTGATGTCAGGCCTCTGGTGAAGGGTTTGACAGAGCTGACCTTATGCGAGATCTTTTTTTTTCATTCTTGTGATATTTCCCCAAACTGTTTTGAATAATATATCCAATATTCAGCTGCGAGTCTGTGTTGTTGTTGTTGTTGCATAAGGTGAAAGAAGCCATTTGGGAGTTGATTTATTTAACTCTTCACTGTATCACACCAGTGGGAGTTGTTACAAAGTACTTCTGTTGGTTTGCCTTTTTATGTACGTGTCTTTTATATTCACCCTCTCCATCTCGATGCGCTGAATGTGATATTTTTCGTCTGTAGATCATTTCCATGGTGTCGCCTGCTGTGTTTTAAGCCTAATTTCCTGCTGCCTTTGTGTGGCAGCGACAGCTCTTTGTATTTGCAGTGATCATTAGCAGACAACAGCTGTCCCCAGAGGTTACTGAAGCCTTTCTTCACAGATACAATCTGAAATGACAACGGACAGGCGAGAAAATCAATAGTACAACCCCTAAGCAGTGGTGGCATGATGTCTATGATCACAGATGAGACATCATCATCCCCTTTGGCGTGTGGAGATGGAGAAAGATCACATTCACTGTGGGTTCAGGATTGCCTTGGGTTTCAGCTTAAATAATTGGATTACAGCATCAATGATGCCCTGGTGATTTATATGCAGGTGGCTGAGGCTCTTTGGGTGAGCTATCAGCCAATAGATCATATTTTGATGATCTATATTATTTGCGTTTGGGGTGTGAAATAATATTTTCAGTTTTTCATTCATTTTATTTCCAGGCCGTGTACAGGTTTCTACTGTCGGACACAAACATGTTTTTTTTAAGTTAGACTTTCCAACATTAGCACATTAAAAAAGGTCGGTTGGTCCTAACTTTGGAACAGGCTCGTGGAGAAACAGAGCCAGTAATTCTTCAACGCTGTGCCAGCAAATGATTAAACAAGCAAACACGCTATAAATATTGCATCGGCATTTCCACACAACATTTGGGAAAGTGTTTAATATTAAGCCTGTAACACGATGAATGGAGTTTATGTAGTTGTGTTTATTTTGTTATGTCTGCAGAGGCCATAAATAGAACATTAGGATGCAAGGTCACCTTTATTTTGAAAAATTCCCAAACTGACACAGTGTTAATGTTCTGGCTTTAATAAAACTTTATGTGGTGTTCCTCCTCTTGGAAGGCATGAAGTTCAAAGAAGGGAAAAAGGTGTCACAAAACGTAATTGCTTTTATTTCACAGCTTTCTGTGCAAGCACACACTGGGCACAACTGAAGGTTTTGATGAAACACATTTCAAAGCTGCTCCGTTTAGTCAACGCTTTAGGAATGGTTATTGAATCATTCACTTTCCGATGACTCGCTGCATCTGTAGTCGAGGCCACAAAGCAGCGATTCTGTTCTTCCACTCGTTGGTCTGGGTCAAAGTGAAAGTAAAGGTCCGAGAGTCGCAAATGTACAGTCACTGAGAAAACAGTTGCAGTGTGAGCCTTTAATGTTTGCAGTATATTTTGTAACATTTCCTACTTCCCTTTCCTGCAGATTGACGGTATAATCTCTGCTTTTGGTTTTCTTTGTCTTTCAGAGAAAGAACGCCCACCTGCTGCTGAACGTGTTTCTGCTGGCAGCGTGGGGATTCTTCCTATTGGCCTGTCGCTTCTACTGGATGGGCAACAAACCTCCAAACTTCTCCAACTCTGACAACCCAGCGGCTGACTCGCCCTCGCTCATCACCAGGACCCTGACCTTCTTCTACCTTCCTGCTGTTAACTTCTGGCTCCTCCTCTGCCCAGACACACTAAGTTTCGATTGGTCGATGGATGCCGTGCCTCTGATCAGGAGCCTTGCTGACTGGAGGAACTTTCATACAGTTGTCTTCTATTCTGGTCTGTTGTTGCTAGCTTGGTTCGGCTTGTGGACACATCGTGCACCGAGGGGAAAGGACACTAATGGCAAAGTGCATCATTACACCAATGGCAGAAATGGGAGCAGTAATGGGCACAGTTACAGTTATAATGATTATGAGCACGTGAACAATTCCAATACGGATGCTCACATAAATAATACGCAAAATGGGACCAAAAAGCACTATGAGAGCAGGACTCTGCTACCTACCACTGAAAATGTTGTGGTGTTCTCACTGGGCCTCTTGGCCATCCCTTTTCTACCTGCCACAAACTTGTTTTTCTATGTGGGGTTTGTGATAGCCGAGCGAGTACTGTACATCCCGAGTATGGGCTTTTGCCTGCTGGTTGCAGTGGGGATCAGGTCCCTCTACATCCGACTACGCCGCAGATCATCCAGAACAATGCTGGTGTACTCCAGCGCAGCCCTGGTTCTATTTTTTGGTGTCAAAACAGTTTTGAGGAACCAGGACTGGCAAAATGAAGAAATGCTCTACAAGTCAGGGATTTATGTCAATCCTGCTAAAGGTAAGATGTGTGCCTTTATTCGTATATGTGTAAACATGTAAAATCATACACACTTTATATGCAACCATTATATTTATTTGTCTGAATAATTCAAAGCAAATATTTAGGTGAGGTTTGATTATGTGCACCGTCCATTAGTTTGCTATCATCCTGAATAACTCAAATAACACATTTTAACTCTCAATATTCTTACGAGTCTATTCTAAGGAATACAACAGAGCTGTACTTTTTGATCTGACACTTTTCTTATACTCCGCATGCAATCTGTTTAATTGGAAAGGCACCATCTGTGACTGGCACCTTTAGTAAAAGATCAAATATTCTAAAGCTTCATATTAAAGGTCATCAAACACTGATTCTTATCCAAACCGAAGCTCTTGGAGCTGCTGAACGGAGAAGCAGGACAGGGCCCCACAAAGCAGCAGAAGGGCATGTTGTGTTAGCTAATTTCCCTTTCAGATTCTGCAGCGGCGCTGAGGCATGACAGCTGTTTGTTTTGGCAGGCCATCAGCCGAACCAAGGAGCAGAAATGTCCACGACTCACATTCAATAAAGTTAATATGAGATGAGAAAAGAGCCCAGTCTCATACACAAACACACACACACACACACAAAGTGTGAAATTGTGAATACACAGAATGTTTATGACACTTTTTTCACTGAGCGTTCAGAGCAGGTGAATGAAGAAAGCTTTTATTTTTTTCCTGTTATCCTAGACACTTGTGTGTTTTAAAAGCTGCACATTACAGCGGTGTAACCACCCGTTAATGGATTTTATCTTCCTATTGAATGAGTATTAGAGAGGGGAGATGGAATAATACCTCAAGGTTAAAAAGTACTACTCTTACACATTTAGAGCAGCGTGCACCTCATTAGGCGCATCTCTTGAGTCATAATAGTCTTTTATTTTTAATACTGTACACTTTATAAATTATTCCAAAGCAAATTGAAGAGATGCTAATGTTGCACGCTGCCATTAAGCATTAAATCCCATTATTGTACCTTTTTCTCTTCGTATTTATTACTTAGTTCATGTTTTCTGGATGTATTTCCACACTGCAGAGTATCTGCACAATATGTACAAAACATCTTGGCAGCCTTACATCTCCTGTCAGTTACTGCTCTTTGCTATTTAATGCCGTTAGCTATTCAGTGGCGCTGTGGTGGTCTTCTTTTCATACACACTGGAAAAACTGGTGGTTTATACACAAAGCTCCCCCGGTGTGCCATCTCTCTTCAGCAGTACTGTCTTGGTATGCCAGCTGCAGCAGAACGACGTCCTCCTCAGAGGTTAAAAGGCACTGAAGCCACGGCAGCATGAGGCTGTGAATAACAAAAGAAAATGATTACTTGCCATAGAAATGTTCCTCCTGCTGTTATAATTCACCGACTTTTTTCTTTTTCTTTTGATTAACCTTTTCTTTTGTGACCCTGTGTGACCCGTCAGCATGGGGCAACCTTGGAAATGTCTTGAAGAGCCAGGGAAAGATGGAGGGGGCGGAGCAGGCTTACAGAAATGCCCTGTATTACCGCAGCAACATGGCTGACATGCTCTATAACCTGTGAGTGTTTTTAATCACACTTATTGTTGCATTCAATATTTTCGTCAAACATTGGCCCCAAATTTTTTATTTGTTTGTTTGTTTTTAATCTGTTGATGCGACTGTGCATTTATAACCATCTCATTGTCTTAAAACGTGAATGAATGATTGGAAAAACTCTCCTTTCTCATGTGTACATTGATCAGAGCTCCTCTGAGAGGAAGTGCCGTCTTGTTTTCAATTCCCCGGGGCGCTGTCCGCCTGACAGCGTTATTAATGATGCTGTTTTAGTCTGCGGGGAAAACACAAAACACCGGCCAGTACTCACAGTGTGATCAAATGTCTGTGGTTTGCGAAACTGTTCCCTTCACATTTATCAGCTGGCTGATGTTGGTGTTTAATCATAACAGAGGCTTTTAACTGAAACGATCTCCTCTTTAGAGTTTTTAAAGCTCTAAATTGTCAGAACTGTCTTTTCCTTTGTCTGCTCCAGTGGTTTGCTGCTACAGGAGAGCAACAAGTTCTCAGAGGCACTTCACTACTATAAGCTGGCCATTGGGAGCCGGCCAACTCTGGCTTGTAAGTACAGCTCTCCTTTTTTTATTGACAATCTGCAGCACTTGTGGTCGTGGTTGTGCTGTGTCCAGGCAACAGCGAACACTGGCTGTGGTTATGTGAAGGGAAGGGAAGAGGTGGCAAAGGCCAGTGTGTGTACAGCTGAATTAAACCTTCGGTGCAGCTGTGCGACTGCTTTCAAAGCCCGATATGTCCACAGATAAAGCATAAACATTAAGTGATTTATTATGATTGAAGCCATGGTGCTTCTGTTTATTTTATTCTTGCTTTGTTCATTTACTTATTTTTCTCTCCATTGTCCTGTCCTCCTCTGCTTTGTCTCTTCTTCTCACCACGAGTTCCTCGCAGTTTTATCCATTTCTTTTGTTATATTTTCACCTCTTTTCTTTTCGCTCCCTGATTAGTGTAAATCACATTCTTACCTGATCATGAAATAAATTAGCTCCCCGTTGTTCTGCGCATCAATCAATGACAGATAAACAGACAATCCTGAAAGTTTCTTCCTTTATTCCCCAGATTAATTATACACCTAATCAAGATCACAGTTAGACTAGAAAATTTCCATTCAGCGTGCAATTATCCAATCTGTTAACGCTGATAACAAGGTTAATTAATTACTCTAAGCAGCACACGTTTTGAAGGCGGATGAGAATGTGACAGCTAATGTGTGTTTTTTCAAGGTTACACTATTACTCACTGGCTAACTGGGAGCTAACTGGGCCAAACTGTCACATTTATACCCGGCATGCACATTTATCCCATTCTTTGATGAGGCACTATTGATTTGTGTCACTTTTTTGAGAGAGAGAATCAGTTGTTAGAAGGCTGACGAAATTGGAAAAGTTTTCCTTTGTCTCTGTTTTTCTTATCTGCCGTCCATCGTCTGCACAGCCTGTCGTTGGGAAAAGGGTTCAGATATTTACCATCAAATGCACAACAATAAGCAGAATGGGTAAAATTGTTGTAAGGTGGAAGAGTGAAGAGTAGAACATAAGCATCAGGATAACGATTTTCAAGGACGTTGGAGGGAAAACAACAAAAACAAAAAGGAGGTTTTTTTTCTAGCTATTTGTTTTTGATTTGATATGTCCTGATTGATCTTCTGTTTCAAGTTAATTTATTCCAGCAGCCAGACTTGATAGGGAGTTGTTTAGAGAGGAAGGCCTACAGAGACTAATTACCCTTCAGCTGCGTATTGATCATTACTGTAGATGCCGTCTTTGACCGTTCAAGAGAAAGTTTAACGTACATTCAAAGTATCCCGCGGGACGTGTGCAAATATCAAACATACAGTAAAGCTGGAAAAGCATCAACAGTAGTTTAATGAAATTCATATGAAAATGATTTTTTTAGCCGTTGCTTCAAATCAACAGAGGCAAAAACAAGGACTTTGTTGGGAGAAGGAATCCTGGATCCCAGATAAATGAGCCACGCTACAATATTATGTGCTTTATCACTTGATATCACTGTGACTGGAGCGTCTGATGCCAGTTTATCATTGTAAGCACAATTATCACTGAGCTTTTATCGATCGAGTGAAGCGACAGGAACAGTCTAAGCTTTCTGTTTGTGTTTCGTTTGATCCCAACAGCAGCCTACTTGAACACAGGCATCATCCTGATGAATCAGGGTCGCCTAGATGAGGCCAAACGCACTTTCCTGACCTGTGCTGATATCCCAGATGAGAATTTGAAGGACCCTCACGCCCACAAGAGCTCAGTCACAAGCTGCCTGTACAACCTGGGCAAGCTGCTCCACGAACAGGGACACCAGGAGGTAATGACAGATTGCAGATCTCGTATGCTAAGAACATATTTAAGGCAATAATAACCTTATAGCATGTCATAATAAAGGTTAAGGATACAATAAAATACACCAAGTGGAGGCAAGAATACTGTTTTTTATTTTTGTCAATTCCCCCCAAAACCCGCCCTTGAAACAGGAAAAGGAAATGTCTCGATTGCATTTGCAGTAATATAAATCTTTTTTTTTGTCTCATCTTTGTTTTTTATATTTGTCTAACAAACAGATCCATTGCTACCATGGGAGTTGAAACAGTACTCCTCTGCATACGTAAATGTTGGAAAATTTCATACCACAGTGAACTGAGATGAAATGCAGGCAGTTACCCAAGCAGCCTTTTGGGGAAACAAAAAAAAAAGCTTACTTTTATATGGACATGTTACAAAATGGTCTCAGTCATAGGGGACAAAGCGTATGTGCAGATACTCCTCAGGCTGTTTCTAACAAATTTTCTCTTTCATGCCCCAAAAGACCTCCAGCGCTGGCTAAAGTAACTGGTTTTCCACTCGCTGTACATTTATATTGAAAATACGCGCCGATGCTGCTGATTCAATCAGGAATGAAGCGGTCCTACGGCCGATTCAATAAAGGCCTTTCTAAATTGTTGGCATCCTTGAGGAACAGAGCATTCCCACTTCCTCTGACCTCTAACCGCAACATTTGCTTCAGCAATAAAATACTTTCAGGTCCTTCTGCCATTTAAACTCTGAGCGAGTCTGAGGTGACTTGCCGGACCAACACATTATACATGCTAAAGTCAACAAGCGACACGGCTCTAGTTGTCTTAACAGCCGTGACACTGAGGATAGAGCCTTTGTGCTCAGCTCTGTATGAAGCAGCCTTCTGGCGACCCCCAATTCCACGCTGTGTATTCATATTGTCATGGCCCCGGCTGCATGGGAGGAATGACGAGTTACCCCAGAGCCGGCTTCTCTAGCGGGGTCTCTGTGCTCTCTAATGCAAACGTCCCAAACCTTCTTTTTTGTGTGTTTCATTCGCAGGAGGCCCTCTCTGTGTTTAAAGAAGCGATACAGAAAATGCCGCGACAGTTTGCACCGCAGAGCCTCTACAACATGATGGGTAAGAGCTGCTCGTGTTTCAGGACCATGAGCGTAATAGATACTGTTTTTACTGTGGAAGAAGAAAGTCTGTGGAGGTCTTGGAGGTATTATCAGCTGGTCATCACACATTTATGCTTCACAAAACACAAGAAAAGTACAAAGGCCGTGTACTTCCTGCATATTGTGTATTATTTTGGACTATATTTCTTTATTCTATGCATAAAAGTTAAAGATCTGAGATTTCCAGAGCAGGCTACTATAAAAGGCAGTAAAACATGAAAACTTCAAAAAATCACTATTCAGGTCCATAATATCCTGTAAAAAGAAAGAAAGAAAGAAAAATATTTGTAAGGCACGGTGTCATAAAAATTAGTAATACGAGCCAAAAGCAGGATTTCTGTTGGTGTTGCTGAGATTTTTTGTGGGGTCAAAAACAAAAGTTAGATAAATACACGTATAGCAAACTGTGCTAATTTAAAGGAACGAAGGCAGTGTGTGAGGCAGCTGATCTGATTCATACAGTTAGACAGAGGTAGACAATCGGAAGCTTTACAATGTCATGTTAAACAGATGCTTTTCACTGCAAGAGCAACCCAGCTTGTTGCATTACAGCTGTAGAACAGCTGCTTTCAGCCTCATTATATCTGTGCACTCCATTGCTTTTTCTTTTTTCTCTGCCCTTCCTGCTTGTTTTTCTCTCTCTCTCACACACACACACGCACACACACACACACACAAACACATATGAGGCTACTTATACACACACACAGAAAACCTGGAACAATAAGTAATCCAGACTAGGCAGTGCCACAGGTTTGCTTATGTGTTGGCAAAATGCAATGTGACGGAGCTCCTGAGATTATGTCAAAATGTTGATGAAAGCTTCAGGCCCCATTAAGGAGCAGCGTTGCGCCTGTAATGGAGGCACCGAGCCACAGATCTGTGATTTCTGCAGCTTAGCGTTGTTTCCTCGCTGAGCTGATTTGCACATTTGGCACACCTGCTCATATCTATTTTCAGTTTCACTCACTGCGCTGCTCTCATGCTGTTTGTCAGACGCCAAGGAGCAGAAGCTTTCATCAGAGGCGGACCTGGGTGGTAATCTGTACCCTGCTGGTCTCGCTCCAGCTCTTTCTGGTTGGCTGAGGAATGTTCCACTCCGAGGAGCTGGTTTTCAGCTCCTTGGATTCGATGTCACTTCTAATTGCACGTTAATGTTTGTGCTAATCTCAGAGGTACAGAGGTCTGCTGCCAGGAAATGGAGTCAAGTAATTTGGCTGCTTTTAAGCCAATCAATATAGGAAGAGGTCGTGTCAAAATGGACCAATATGTGCATTTTTAAACAGCTCAGCACCTTGGATTAGCTATAAGTCACTGCAGGTTAGATAAGCCTCTATATAAACATGATGATTATTTATTAACCTTCGAACTAATAATTCAGTATATACATTTAAAATAGCCACCGGTGTAGGACTTTTACACACAGAGGTTTCCATTATGACCCAATGGAAATGGAAAGCTTGGTGTAATGCTGCCTAATCCACTCTGCTGTTGATGGGAGTTTTGTTATTATGTAGCTACAATCTGATGGAAACATGCAGCATGAGGCTGTAATGGTAGAGCAATAATAGCTACACATGGCATCGCTGCAGCAGGTAGCGCTGCATGTTGGATTTTTACACCTGACACAACCCCAAAGGGATTTTTGGCTCCTCTCATCATCAGAACAGGGATCTTTCACTAGTTAACCAAATGTGTAAACCACTACAATCTATAACTTGAGAAAAAATAACATATTAACATGTTTTGGAATAAAATTAATATGTATTTGCATTATTTACATGCATGCACGCGTCTGTGTGAAAGAGGTATCTCTATGTTATCACTTATATGAGGATGTGTGTTTTCATGAGACTAAAAGGCTGTGGGCAGGCGTATGTCACCTGCTGCTTATCGCTGTCTTTTCAGTAAAGCGATTAATCTGAATCCCCACTGAATTCAAACCTCAGTCTCCTCTTGTCTAAACAACTCTTTCAGTCATTTGGCAGTTCATAAGACTTGGTGTAGATTGAAATATAAACCATATTACAAGTCATATTTTAACAAGTGGGCTTTATTCACACTTTCCCCCTAAATACATCATGATGTTGATTTTTACTGTGTTGCGTTACCAGCCAGTCAGTTTTTTCCAACCATGCGAGGGTTGCTGGATAGCTTTGTTATTTCAGGTGTTGCTTTAGCAGGCAGAGGGTCAGATGTGGTGGTGGGGGAGGTATCGGATGATGTCTGACAGGTCAGGAAGAGTGAAGGAGGACAACGGGAGAAATCTTGTCCTATTGTTCTGTAAGCATTACGGTGAATTTCTGCTATAATCAAGCACACTTAGCTGAAATGAATTACTTCAGGAAAAACCCTGAAATAAGAGCATAAATAATTTCTTCAGTATGAATCTAACATGTTTAAGCAATTGCAACATCCTCCAAAGCCTCTTATTACTCCATGTGTTTAAAATATGATGAAAGTGCTGGAAGAAGAATCATTGAGTTTGATGACTGGATTATAATCTGAATTTGTTGCCGCCCTGTAATAAAAATCAAAAGAATAAAAGACAGCTGTGTGATGTTTTAACCTCTGACACTTGAATTGATCCCTCATGTGACGCTGTCTTTGCCATCACAGGAGAGGCCTACATTAGACTGAATAAGCTGACTGAGGCTGAGTTTTGGTACAGAGAATCGCTGCGAGCCAAGCCAGACCACATTCCTGCACATCTCACTTATGGGAAACTTCTCGCAATGACGGTAACGTTGTTTTTGTTTTGATCCTCCCTTATCTGTGTTTCCATTCAGTTTGCTATCGTACGTTCTAGTGAGTGTTCTGATTAAACACTACCCTGCGACCAACTTTATTATTTAAAGGTGTGTCCCACATTTAGTGTTTGGTTTATGAGATTAATTTAAAGTTAATTTCTACTTTTGCTGTTTTATAGCATCTTTCTTTGCTTTGGAGCAAATACATCAAGTTTCAGGGCAAAACAAACACACTGATGTCCTCGGGGTCATTTTAGCTTCTCTGTAAAGTTTAATCAAACGAAATGGCTTCCTGATTTTGTCGTGCCTCCACATTTGCATCTTTAATGTGTTACTAGAAGCTACTAAAACAGTATTCTTAATCAACTGCCTAGAGAGCGCTCGAATCTCTACACTAAATGGAAAGAAAGCTAACACTGCCCGGCATCTTCCAGGTCGGCAAGTGAAAGTGAAACCTGTCTTGTGTTTTACTAATGAAAAAAATGGAGGCGTCTCCAGTATAGGAGCAGTTTCCAGAGTCCTTGAGTTTATGAGGAGCTGGTCGTGCAGTCGTTCGGTGATCGACTGCAGCAAGACGTACATACTCGGAAAAGAGCTGAGAAAAAAAGTAGTCCGATCTGAAAAGGACTGTCAGAAGACAAATAAACAAGTCAGCCAGAGGCTTGCTTAGAAGGTCAAAAAAAGGGTGGAGGCCTTGTGTTCAGCAGACACCCCTTTCATCCACTGCCTGGGCCCTAATGAGAGCAGCCGGCAGCAGTGATATCTGGATTTCCAGCAAACGGCTGCACTCTTCCTGCCCCTTTTTTATTTCCTCCATGGAAACAGAATTCTTTTCAAGTTTGTTTCATTTATAGTTTTTCCTCAATCATCATTTTGTGAATATCCTCACTGATAGGTGGAGGAATTTAACAGGCAAACCAATTTTTCCACAGTTTTTAGACATAATGTTGCCCTTTTTTGTGTCAACACATATAAAACCAAAAGCCTTGGAAATAAACTTGAAGTCAGTTACCACTTATATATCTGCATGGCACTGGCTACTGCCAGTAGCTAGTGAGCATAGCATAGCACATGAATTGGAAATAAAAAGCTTGGCTCCGGGGATCACTAATTAACACGTTATTTTTGGGCTGTTTAATCCATACAAAAACTGAGGTGTAAAAACCACACTTTGTGGTGTTATAACATTTTTATGTGCCAAAAGTTACTGAACCCAGCCAGGAAATACTTTGGCATATACCCCTAAAGAAAAAAACAAAGAATGTGTCTTTTTTTTTTTCGTGTGTTTTGTACAGACTGTAGGCTTGGACGGGCCGACTGCTTCTGCATTTTTTGAGTCTTCAGAAAAACCACAAACTGTCTTTCATCTGAGTTGCTGAAGTGCTGTACAGTTGTGGATCATTGTTATTAGTCCTCTGCACACTGGCGGTGGATTGATTTGCCGTTCTGTCCGCTGACTGGTTGCCAGCTGAAAGAATAGATCAACTGGCAACGCAGATAAAACTCACTTATTAAGTTGACATGATCCCTGTGAAAAATTCAATGGAACCAAAACCCATCAGCAAGGATGGTTTCAGGGAATAACTCAATACTTTAAAGGAGAGTATTAAGACTTGGTAAAGTTGATTCAGAGAAGAAGTCTGTGAGCTGTGAGGAGAAACTTAGGAAAGTGTTATTGATTTGGGGGAAAGTAGAGTTCAAACCTTCGGGGATAAATCTCTGTAGCTCTCTGACCATGATGGATGGTTTAGGGGTCTTGAACCCCTGTGATCCCTTGAGTGCAAATGAAAGTGCGATCAAAGACGGGATCTAACTTACTTGGATAGGCTAACAGTGACTCTATTCTTTAAAGGAATTTCTGAAAGATTTTATTGAAATGTGTCAGACAAATGTTACCTGTGAACACAGGCTGTTGTTTAATATGTACCGACTCCGGCGTTTAATGTGATCCAAAGCAGTGCAGGAAGAGCAGCCGTCTGTCACCTCCCACCTCTGCCCTCCCTGTGCAACAACTGTGAGCGATGAAGACACTTCAGATGCTGTCAGGGACTTTGAGGTTCAGATCCCTCTGGGAGAGGCTGCAATATAAGGTTTAGCAGCAGGGTCAGAGAAGGGTGAGTGGTGGGTGGCGGAGCGAGCCTTTCTGTGGCTGCTGAGGCGCAGAGAGCAAAGAGACGGCGTGGATGGTGAGAAGGACAAACAGGGGAAGAAAGGGAGAGTTAATCACACAGATCAGTATTGCATGCTCAGCCCTGCTGACCCCCTGCACCTTCACCGACACCCTAAAGAAGCAGGATGTGTTGTTGGTTGTGCATAATTATAATTATAATGCTCACAATATTGGATTCAGTCATTCACTTGTCATTTCCACAACTAATACAGTACAGGTTTCATTCATAATAACCTCGACACTCACAGAGCCAGGGATGCATCTGCAGTTGGCCCAATGTTATCAGGAGATTTGAGGTGTGAGGCGTGCGCAACTGAGCTCAGCGAGTGTGCGACAAACAGGAGAATATTGCACAATAAGTCACCTTGCTTAATAAGTAGATATCCGACAAAGCTGTATTCACATGTACTCAGCAGATGTTTGTATGTTTGCATGCTAAACTAGTGTTGGACAATGACAAACAGACTTTAAACAGATTCTACTTACCATTAAACCTAAACAGCCACATCAAACTATCTTTTAGTTTGCTGAGAAAGCCAAGATACGATATCTCCGCATGGTAGCGACTTGGTTACACCTTTAGCTCATGTCCTAAAGCACATCCTGCTTTATTAACTGTTTTACAATGACCAATGAAGTGATATGTTTACTGGAGTAATAAACAGAGTACAGTCATCATTTATAGACGAGGTTCCTTCATCCCTTTCTCGTGCTGCATTGGTCGTACCTTAGATGAAAGCTATTCCTATTTATTGCCACTCATAATCACAGCTTCTATATAGATATATATAGATAAAAGAAGATTGTTTTCGTCTGATTAAGGGGATTCGGTGAAATTAAAAAGGGTAGCACAGTTATTAATTTTGACCTATAATAAATGATTTTTTAACAAGTAATAAAAAAAGAAAAAAGTTGTTACATTTTTGAGGTCCTACCAACATCTCGCTTATTCTGTGTATGGTCTCTGTTAATATTCTTAATGTGTCACAGCCCACATCTTTCATGCACTTAGACCTAAAACCCATTTCAGTCTGTCAAAGTTTAAGCTGTAGAGGTTTAATAACTGTAGGTCTTTGTTGAAAAAAGCAGCTGGCGGTAAAATGTCTGCATTCCCCCATCTGTGAATATAAGTATAAAAATACACAAAAGTGATGCTTTTCAGAATAAAACTTCAATCAGCTCTGTTAAACGTGTCCTTGGCACAGGCTTCGTTTTCTGCAGCATCAATGGAAACTACACTCAGATGTTTACATTAGAAATTTCTGTATTTATTGAATCTACCGCTCACTGAAAATGAAGTCTGCAGTCATTAATACGATATAGGGCCCATTCCTTCTGTATGACTGAACTAAAGTTCTGCGCTAAGTGTCCCACTCATTCACGTTGTTTTTACTGGCTTTGCATAATCCAGTAATGCCTTAGTATATTAGTCTTCATGAGAAGGCTTTATCTCTCTCTCAAATGCATACTGATGGCTGCATTATTAATGCATCAGCTTTTATCGATGAGTGCACATGGTTAATTGTTGATCAGATGACATCTGGTGCCCAACTGAGATCAGTGATGTGTCAGAGTCCCAGTTGGCACTTCTATTGGCCAGCTGCTCGGTTCTGTTAGAGCTGTGATTGGTTACATGTCACAGTGTAAAGGGCCTGAGGAAGCTTTTGCGGTCTGCAGGGCTTCAGTGTGTCTTCTTCACATCATATTATGCTCGCCCCCCCTCCGGTATGGATTCTTTCTGGAACATAAAAACAAAAATAAAAATCATATGTGTTTGTGTGCAGTACACCTGTACTTGGGGCATTATAGACACAAGCCTTTCTGTTTTCTCCTCTTCGCTACTCACTGTCTTGTTTAATAGCAGTTAGGCCACACACACTGACAATCTGCAGCTATGCTCCGGAAGTGCTCTTTGCAAAGATAATATGTTTAATGAATGAGACTTTACCCTGTCTGGTCTGCTGTGCTAAACGTGACAGCGTCTGCTTTTGTGGGACGACACATGAGCCTGACGGAGTAACAGTAGCGATCCGTGTGTTTCGTGTCTATTTGTTAAGATTTATTGTTAGAGTACGTCTGTGGTTGGAAGAGGGACATTAGGTATACACAGAGGTATTTTGGCTGTTGAGTCGAGTGTGGTGTTTTTAGACTGAGTAGCTTTGAGGAGCAGTTGAAACAATAATGACTGTGTTTAATCCATCTCTCTCAGGGGCAGAAAACAGAAGCGGAGAGGTACTTCCTCAAGGCCATCCAACTCGATCCCACAAAAGGCAACTGCTACATGCATTATGGTAAGCACGGATATATGTTTCTCTTCCAGTCTGACTCACACCAGATTTCTTTTTACATTTCAAATATTTGATTTGGAAATTTCGCGCATACATGCTGCACTTGTGCAAGACGAGCACTTGTGCACCTTAGCCGGTTGTTTGTACAACAGAGTTGGCTGACCCTTCTGCCATTTCTGTTTTTATTCTTTGTGATTAGTCGAGAGTCACAGGAAGCAGGGTTGATTTCCTTAGATTGTTCACTGATTTGATGGGTGTACAGAACGTGACAATTTTAGCATATGCCTCTTCTCAAGCTTTCCATTAATCAGCAGTATTACCTCCTGGATTTAATTTCTTTCATAGTACCTTTGAGTTTGTAAAAGCATTTAAAGCCTTGTCTTTGTGATCACCAGGTCGCAAGTGACATTTAAGGAAATTGGTTAATGGTGGATTTTTGCATTTTGTTGAGTACTGTGTGTGTAGGTTAATTATCCAGCCAATCAGGATATGGATTGCATTGATCCGAGCACAGAGACGGTGTTATTTCAAGAAATTACTAAACGGTACTAATAATAAAGGAGATATAATATCCATATGGAACATCCATATAACATCATTTATCTTATTTCTGTTGGCCCAAGTAAAAATATGCAGCAATTAATTTCTATTTCTTGTTCAGATCACAGCTATGGTTTAATTTACAAATATATCTATTCACAGCTAAACACATCAGATCTGCCATATACTGCTGGGTTTTCATTACTTTAGATTGACTAAGTTGTTTGTTTTTCAAAATGTTTTTTGTTTCTGAGACCGAGTGTCCTCAGGCCTGAAGAAGACTCTTCAAAAAAGGTCTTAGAGTGCACTAAAAATCATGAATTTAATTTAGCTGTGTTTATTTGATCATTTTCACTTGCCTGCCTTAGGCAGCAATGCTAGTGATGTGTTTTTTCCTATGTATTAAAAAAGGCATACACTATCCTGCTACAAATGGAGTTTCAGTCAGCATTATTAGAAGTGTACTGCCTCATTTGGGGCTTTTGAATTTTAGTTAAAAAAATATGTAATAAGTAAAGAAGTTAGCTGATTATTGCTTTCATCCATTTATTCTGCTGGTTACTAAGGTAAATGAATTACTTCCATTGAAGAATTGAGTCATATATGCCTGGGAATAGTATTAATAGGTGATACTTTTATGTTTAGACTTGCATTCCCAACTACTTAGTAAATTAAAGGGTCAAGTAAATTAATTACGCATACATTTATTTATTTCTTGTCCAGCCTAAATGTCACATGAAAACCTCGCGTGGCGTTCCCCAGGGGTCAGGTCTTGGTCCCATTTAATTCTCTTTCTATACACTGTGTAAGATAATCTGTAAATAATATAGTGTTAATGTTAGTTTTAACTGTTAGGATACTCAACATAAATAACATATGTTTTTTTACTTAGCCCGAGTTCTTTTTTGTGTTGCTCGAAGGAAAGAAAAAAACCCAAAACGTAGAAATCTGTCCTCCAGCATTAGCTAGCCCGCTCACAATCTGGGTATGAGCTTAAACTGACAAAGTCGTACAGCCGTACTTTCTCCAATTAAGAAATAATGCAAAAGATTAAAATTATTATATTTTAAGTAAAAGCATATTATTTTTGCTGTTGTGTATCAAAGTCGGGTCCGTTTTATTAGTTGATGTGTTTGTCTCTGACAGATTTGATTTCATTTATCAAAAACAGTGCAAAACTGCAGATCTGGAGGTTTTTAGTGCACAGTTGCAGCCTAAAAACTCACTTAAAATACAGCTCTTGCCTTGTCCTGCACTAAAGGCTCCAGTTTCATTCACAGTTATTAAAAAAATGCGCTTGGGTTCACTTGGTGGTTTAGCATCCTGGCACAGCATTGGAGCTTACCAAAATCAACAGTGTATTAATTCCCCCTAAACCTGGCTCTTACCGAGGGGTCCGCCCCGCACTGGGCCTTGTCAGGCTTCTATAATCCCCTCTCATTAGGCTGGTCCACAGAGGTTAACTGCAAGGAAGGCGCACCCGTAATAAGACATAACCCTCCTGCTGAAAACATTTTTATCCAAAGGGAACAGATCTATCAAGGCTGATAATCTGAACAAATGAGTCTGAAAGATGGCCAAGGAGAGATTTTATGCTGCACTTATATTTAATGTTTCATCATATTGTCACAAGTGCAGACTAGTCTGTCCCTCTGCCCAGGCCAAAAGAAACACTGCGAGGCCGTGTATCCCTACGTGCCCCTGTGGGGATCCCAAAGTGTTTTAATAATGGTGCTGTTCCCTTCTGCCCTGCCAGGTCAGTTTTTGTTGGAAGAGTCACGGCTGCTTGAAGCAGCAGAGATGGCAAAGACAGCTGCACGCCTTGACAGTGGGGAATTTGATGTGGTCTTCAATGCAGCCCACATGCTCAGGTATGTTTTTGATTGGCGTGATTTTTTCTCTTTCCTCAGGTTTGATGATTTCCTTAGTGCAAGAGCATGCATAAAGACACTGGATGTATTTTATTCTGCCTAGATGAGATGGGTGGGCCACAGTTTTCTGTGGCTGAGTAGAAAGAAAGCTGTGTATGAGAGAGGGAGGTCTACTGTCTGCACGTTTTATCCAGGGGCTTACACCATTCCTCAGCCTCTGTGATTTACTTGGCTATACTTTGTAATCCTCTTCTCTTGCTGCAGTGCCAGCTCTAGAACTCCTGGTTTATCTTAGTGCGTAGTGTAGCTATATATCTCAGAGGGCTGTCTCTCAAATTACATATACCACTCTGTCTCAGTCTTCCATCACTGGCCAGTGCTCATATTTGAACGCATAATTACAAATTAGTGCAAAGTTCAGCTGTTGAGGCTAAGCAGGAAAGCCCACAAACTGTTGTTTGTGAATGAGAGCCATGTGTGGGATTGTATAAATACAGCTATGTGCCAACTTACTGAATGCTTCCCCCCTCCCCCTGAATAAACCTCCAACTTTATATTAGCCAGTGTAGCGATTTCCTTGTTTAATTAGTCACCGTGGGCAACTCTCTGCATATTTGTCAAAACTACGACTGCCAGCTGTAAAGAAAGATAACTCGTGGACAAGTGCTTCGCTGGACTCACCAGAGTTACTGTGCTTAAGAGTACATCAGTGCACTCCCACTCAGCTTTGTTCAGCGTACCTCTGCTGATCGTGTAGTGTCTTCACCACCAACGGTTTCAGGCATAGAGAGCCTCTCCTAGAGTCCAAACTCCTGGCAGCTAAGTGAGCATCAAGCAGCGCTCGGGTTGAACTCATCTCCGCCTGCTTGGCATGGGGTCTCACTCCCTCCACAGCTCGTGTTCTTTATGTGTTTGTCTTGGACGTAGATGTGGAAAGCCCATCGGTTGGTGGGGACACAAGTGAATCTGCACAGGAGAGGGGAAGAGATTAAAAGGGGGAGCAGTAGCTCTCAAATTTGCAAATGTCGTTTATTACCCCTTTGGGCTTTTGGTTTTGACTATTTTGCTTTCAAACTAATAATTTTCATCTGCTTCGTTTTAAGAGTTCTTTTATTTTTTTCAAAACGAATGTAGGACAGGAAAAGTTGGGCAATAGTAAGGCCAAGAGGTACATGCTTGTACTTCCCATGAGTATGTCAAATGCCAGTGAAAGTGAAAAATTACACTGTGAAGTCGTAGAGTAAAGTACAATCTGTAGATTTCCAAAGGCAGCCCTGGGAAAAGCAAACATTATAAAACACACAAGCACTTTATCCACACGCAGTTTACCTCATACCATAAGCCCTTAGTACTGTACGCTGCTATCGTGCCATAATCTTAAACCGACTATGAGACCAAATGTAAATTTTGTGAAATATTTGATGACTGCAACTAAGTGTTGAAATTGCAGCCCAATGTCAGGCTTACAAGCAGAATTTGTCTTTGTTGTGATCTCCTTTTTTTAGGTGGCATTATTAGACAACAAGATCACTGGTTTTTAATTATGGACAAGAATTTTTTATTATTTTTTTATTTCATTAATGCCTGTTTTTGTCATCAGCCTCTCTCGCAGTTCCTGTGCTGGTATAGCCTTACAATAGCTCCTATTCCAATGGTTGGCCTTCACTGTCTACAGTGCTCTCACAACCCACAGTCAGACGGCTCTAGGAGGTCCTGTAGCTCTGCTGGTTACAGTGTGGCAGCTTTCCAGTTCTCCTCTCTTAATGTGTTTATAAATGTGATAATGATATTATGGAATTAGATTTGTGCATTTTTCATCTCTGAAGGATCTGCTTTCTAAATATTATGCTGGCAAACAAACATATGGTTGTGGTTGGATGTGAAAGCCACATTTATAATCTCAGGACAAATTCAGCAACTCGAGTTGGTGTTTGGATCCCTGTTGGAATGTAAAATGCTTCTTTCTGAAACAAAAAAGGGAGAAACCCAGCCATAGCGTATTCTTCTGTATATCTGAATATGTAAGCAAACACAACGTATAACTTTGGCAGTGTCAGTTGACCCACTGTGGTCAACTACCATAAAGTTTTGTACAAACAGTCTTGAGAGGAAGAACGACGACTGACTGGGGGGATTTTTTTTCTATAGCACCACAATGATCTTCTTATTCACGGCGTAAGCTGAAGTGAACTGGAATGGACTGACACCAAATGATCACTAAACGTGGACACCCGTCAGAACATTAGCATTTAGCTAACACCAGTTTGTGGCTAACGTTAGCCTCAGAGAGCTACAAGCTATTTGCATCGCATTGTTTTTCTGGAGGCTCTTTTCCTGCTATATAAAATATAAGGTATAGGTATTTTTTTCTAACTCTGAATTATAAATCATCTCCTTCATCTTTTAAAATTAAAGGATTAAGATTTCACAAAACCAAACATAGATGTATACGCAGGTCCAGATGTTTCTCTGGAACTACGCAGATGACGATCTCATAATAAAGCACGACAGCCTAAATGAAAGCATGGCTATAAAAGCTTCGCTTCCTTTGATCATTCTGACTTAAGGGGCTCCACAGCCGGCCGCTGTTGACTCCGTCCTTGACTATGTCAGTGTTAAATTGTTTTTAATTGGGCAATTGTTACCATAAGGGCACAGCCTGAAGCTGTGTGTCATAAAGGTGATGTCTGATATGCCAGAAAGTTAACAACAGGAAGTGTTTTGTGACCGAGGAGCCACCGGCTTATGTGCAGTAGTACAGTGGGTTATGAAAGAAGATGATGCAGCCGTGTTGTAACTGTAGTTTTCGTGTCCTCAGGAACAGTGTGTTTCTGGTTCCAGGGACTCATGCCGACAAGCCATCTGCTCAAAAATCCTTTTTGTCACAATTTGGCATATGCAGCATATTTTGGAGCATTCAGTTTGTACGCTCTGCTGTTCTGTTTTGGTTTTGGGGTTTTTATTGATGGTATGATTACGTTTCTGTTTTAATGGTGTTTGCACAGTTTAACTATCTCAATATCTATCAAGTGTTGCAACCCACATTTTTCCAGACTAAATGTAAACAGATATGTACAGTGAATATTCCAGATGAGCCTCGGTTTCTTGGTATGCAATGAACTAGATGTCCTGACCTCAAGGTTCAATTAGAACAGAAAGTGCTTGCAGTGCACTGCTCAGCACAGATGTTATCGAAAGATGCTATCGAACGAGAAGCCTACGGGCGATTGGATTGGCTTTTCTCATCCCTCATGCTGTTCCTCTGCGTTACTTTCTCACTGACCCTCGAGCGCTAGTAAACACGAGGGGTTCAAGGCCTCATCCGAAGCCAGCAGCAATAAAAATGAGTAATGACCGCCTCTCTGTTTTCCTTTTGCAGACAAGCCAGCCTAAATGAGGCAGCCGAGAAGTATTACGGACAAGCAGCGAGCCTGAGACCCAACGTGAGTAAAACCACAGCTAGCTAATCTTCCCCCGTTACTATTTACTCTGATGGACAATGCGCAATCGCAGTTTGGGTGGCTTTCCAGTATTATTACTCTCTGATCTGCTTTTGCACAACACCATGCATTGTCAATGGAGCTCAGACAGATGAATGCTAGGTTTTTACTATGCCCAGAGATTTGCTTGTCCAACATCCATCACCAACTTCAAAGGAGAGGCCAGGGTAAGCAGAATGAAAAGAATAATGATAATAACACTGAGTCAGGGGACTGTGACGTCTTGAAAATGAATGGGATCCAGTCTTTGAGAGCTCTGACAGGGAGGGTCAAGTTGTTTAAGTGAGGGTCACAGAAGGAGCAAAGTATGTTTGGCATGTGGTCACCCTGTTTATTCCTGCGTCTTGATTAAAAGAAATCAGTTTGGGATTAATGATCAACTATATCTGAACAATGATATACAGACAAAGCAAAGTCTAGTGTTAGGACCACATAAACCCTGGGATAACACAAACAAATACTGACAAATGGAGCAACCAAAACTTGAGTATAACAGAGGAATTCGATGTTTTTTCCATACATGACGAAATTCAAAGAGCGTAACTGTTCAGATCCCTGACCGTTCCCACTGATACTTTTTCTGATGTCTAAATAATTACTGTTAACTGCCTCCACCCAAAATGCACAGCCAGCGTTGATTAGATGTTTATAGGCCGCTTATTGTGCTCCACATTGCCGACAATAGACCGAGGTAGAGCTGCTGTGTTTTCCGTGTGCCCAGCTAAGTGAGGAACGAGATGTGAAATACTGTTCTTTAAATAACAATAATAATAATTATACATTTTTTGCTTTTAATGAAACCCGTCGGTATTGTACATCAAATATTGCAGTTTTGATATATGACAGGATGATTTATGAGCATGTTTAAAGCATAACTGGGTTCTGAAAGGTTTAAAGAGTACAAACTCATTATCGATAACACATCGATTTTGTGGAGTCTCACATCAGGTTCTTGTCATTAATCCATAACAGACTCTTGCATACACAACTACAGCCAGTTTGGAGTTAACAAGTTGGCTTCAAACTGTTTGGAGAGTGTATGAAATACACACAACACCATTTCTGTGTCAGTGTTGTTCAGTTCGTCTGTAAATTAAAGTCTCGAGATGTTTGTGTACTCCGTAGTCCTCGTCCACATGCAGATGTTTTGCCCCTGTCGGGTCCACTTTTTGGGAAACTTTTTGTTATTTGTGTTGCTTTACAGCTGAGGCATTATTATAATTTAGCATCTTCATCCATCTTCCTTACCTGTATCCTTTGTTCTTTCCAATGTGATTTGACTTAAGCCACGTACGCTGTCTATCTTCATTTGTCATTTCATGCTTTACTGCGACTTGACTCTTTGCTCTCCAAAGGCCCTGGTGTTTTATATTAGGCACATGTCTGCTTGCTTTCAGGGAGAGAGGACACTTCCTTCCATTCAAAGGATTTAACAGTCCTACAGTTCCCTCAATCTAGATAAACTAAATCGGGTTGGATGCTTGCTTAGCATCAGTTGCTCTCTATAACCTATGACATCTGCCCTTTCAAAGTTTCCAACTTTATATGGATAGTCTTTGCTTAAATGGCTATTTAAAGTCATTGCAGCCAGGTCATTCAACACCTGGTTTTACACTGAACATTCACAACCTCTATAGCATATGTTGCTGTACAGTCTAGGCTAATATGCTCTGCATCTGGACATGCCTCTGCTCCTGCATGCCTATTTCAGCGAGGGTGGGGAGGCAGAGAGGTTACAGAGCAGCAGGAAATGAGAAAAAAAATAAAAGCTTTTGACAAGCCAGTGTTCTGCAGTGTGTTGCAAGGGCTAGGAAGAATGCAGAAACGGGGGTATAAATCACAAACGGCTTAGATATATGAAGAAGGGGGAGAAGCAAAGGCTTTTAGTAGTCTTTAGCTTTGAGTCTGCAGGGTAGACTTAGGAGGGAAACAAAATTCAAGGATTGCTAAGTTGTGCATGGGTGAAAAGAGCAATCTTTGAAGCTATGCTGCAGCTGTGCTAAGAAGAAAACCAGCACTCTGTGGATTTTCTACCCAGGAGTCACTGCACAGTGTTTCACGTGTTACACCACTCATCAGCAAGTGTCCTGGGGAGCGGTAAAAAGTGTGAATACAAGCTTTGTTAGCTTTCTGGAAAACATTTACTTCTATTCTCCAGGATCCATCCATTCAAACCCTGACTTTGACTGGACAGAGTTTGTTTGTTAAAGTCTTACTGCCCACCTGCTTCAGTGAACTCACACATGTATTAGAGACTGGGGCAATGACATTTTTTTGTTTTTTGTTAACACACCATACATCAATACATTGTGGCTCCGTTTATGTGTCGTCACTGTCACTGTCAACTGTGTCCATCTGTATAAGAAAAAATACTTTGGCTCACAATTTTCTGACTTTTAAAATGCACCAACTTGTAAACTGAAGCCTGGCGGTTATTCTATGATTTAAACATCCAATGATGGGTCAAAAAGAAGGTAATTTAGAGTGCCTCAGAACTACCCCAGCCATTAAATTCAAGAACCCTGGCTGCTAGCAGAACAAATTTAGTTTTGCCAGGATGCTTTAAATTAAAAGAAAGATCCTCTCCAACGAGCTACAGTAGAGGTCTTGGTCGTGTCAGTCCTTCCTTTGGGCCATGCATGTGTTCTATGTTTTACATTTTATGTATGACTTTTATCCTGTCTTCCTTCTGTCACCCCAACCAATCACAGCAGATGGCCCCGCCCCTCCCTTTCTTCCTGTTAAAAGGGAGTTTTTCCTTCCCACTGTCGCCAAAGTGCTTGCTCATAGGGGGTCATATGATTGTTGGGTTTTTCTCTGTATCTATGAAGCGCCTTGAGGCTACTTGTTGTGATTTGGCGCTATATGAATAAAATTGAATTGAATTGAATGTGTTTACAGCAGAAAATGGTTTTCTCTCAAGGGGACTGTGGTATAGTTGGGCTATACTGGTTGAATTCTGCCAAAGAGAAAAACACTCTCCTTCTCATTAAAATGGAGATCATGCATGGAGCATCACTCATCCTACTCTGGCACTGGAAAAACTGTGAAATGTTTTGTAAGCGAACAGTCCAGCAAACGGCATCGTTCACACAATTCCTCGTAGTTGGGAATATATGAGACAAAGGCTAACACTCTTAGGAGAGCTTCTGTGCTTCAAAGTGTGACACTTAAACTCCAGATTCACATTAATATAAGAATGTAAACTGTCCAGTTATTCATCTGGGGTTGTTTATTTGGAGAGTTACTTAAATGTTGATATACTGTAGATTCAGAGTGTCATCTATTCACTTTTCATCTATTATGATTTCTCCGTTCGCTCTTTCAACAAGAGAAATACTTTGGGTTACCTAATGGACCAAAATAAATTGTTCACCTCTTTAAATATCACAATCATGCATGTTTTAAGTCAGATGTGCATGTGATGATCGTTATAGTAAAAAAGTCTTTCTTTTTTTTTTTTTTAACATCCTCGTATCCTAGGAATTACAATTATAGAAATCACAATAGTCCGAAGCAGTAGCCTCACTACACGATTAGACATGTTTTTCACATTTCAAACTGAAATAGTGATCAGATGTGGCCCTTCCCTAGCCCTGGATATCCTCCTGACATGATTGCACCCCAGACACATTTCCTGTAGTTTGGTCCTCATGACTCACTCATTGCACCGCTGATGATTTTGCCCCTCGGCACTAACGAGAATAAACAGTATATTCATCTCAACCCACTTCAAAGTCGCGGTCGCTCTCTCTGACATCTACGGCCACAGACAAGACACAGAGACACGCAAAGCAGCATGGTTACCAAACTCCAAACAGGGTCTGGGTGATCAGACGAACAGAAACCACTGTGTTAAAAAATTACTTTCTTTATTTAAGCCTCACCTCTGGCATTTTCTCTTGCTTTTGTCATAAGAGACAAGTTACTGTTACTAATTTTTTCCATTTCCATTAAATTATGTACATCCCAAAGTGTGAACAGATGGACTTTATGTGCATTATTTATCAGCCCGTGGATGTAGTAAAATTTTAATTTTTTATTAAAACATGTCTCTAGTTAAAACACTGTCCTTATGTGTATGTTAGCTCCCGTTTGCTATGTCCCAGGCAGCTGTGTTTGTACCAACTACACTAGTTTATAAACTGTTGCATTGTCTTTTGAGCTTAATCTCTGAATCCAATTGGTCTTACCCTAAAATAACTAAGATCGCTCTCTTTTTTCTTCTTAAATTTCAGTACCCTGCAGCTTTGATGAATCTTGGGGCAATCCTCCACCTCAATGGGAAGCTGCAAGAAGCTGAAGCCAATTACCTCCGAGCACTTCAACTAAAACCAGATGATGCCATCACCCAGTCCAATTTGCGTAAGCTGTGGAACATCATGGAGAAACAGGGCTTGAGGACCACGAGCCCCTGAGCTCAAGAGATCCCGCCTACTCGCCATCTGCACACCAGACCCGGGAAAAGGACAGCCTACACGCTCCTCATTTGCTCCTGTCATCCAGAAAAGATGGAAGAGACTCAGGGAGAATGTTTGCTCAAAGAGGCCGTGACCGTACCACACAGCTCTCCTAGTGACTCCTGAGCTTCGCATACACCTCAGGCCAGCAGCTTTCCTCACAATCATTGCTCACAGTTTGGCAGACGTTATGTGGTATTTGGACTTTTAAGTACTTTTTTCAAAATTAAGGCTTTTTTTCCTTTATAACTAAAGCACTTGAAGTAAGACCAGGTACATCCTTTAACATTTGAGATGAGTTATACTTAAACTAAGCAATTCTGCTGAAAGGTTTCTCAAAAAGAATTGTTGAACTGGGTAAAATTTAATATTAGAGATAAAAGAGAGGAAAGGATCTCATAACGCTGCACTGGGGGGGAGCGGGTAGTTTCCAACACCATTAAATGAAGTTCTTGGTTTGACCAGATACCACTTTGATCATGAAGACAGTACATGAAGAACTAACAACATTCAAAATCACAACTTAAATTTATATCTCAACTCTCCAGCTTGTGTACTGATTCATAGTCTCGGTGATGAAATTTGTTCATTAGAATATACACACTTTGCTATTATTGCAAACCATTTTTAGCACTCTCCTAATATTCGGTGACAACTTGAAAAAGGGAATTGAATTTGTTAGCCATTGCAGCACAACGGTAGCCTCTGCAAATGTTCCGCTTTGCAAAACCCAGCATATTTTGGCAGTTAAGCTCAAAAAGTGAAGAAAAATTAGTATTGTAATGACTTAAAAGGTGTAATATCTTTTTCATGAGTGTAGCAGGAAGTGTTTTTATCATTACAGATCTTCTCTGCATTGGTTAAGAAGTCACCATGGCAGTTAAGAAACTATACATAGAAATGTTAAGCTACCTTCCTGTGGAAGTAACAGACAAAAAATAGGTAGGTACTGTAGATTCAGGTACACCGCCTTGCTACATGCCCGAAGCTTTTATAGAAGAGTGTGTAAGGACCTTAAGCAGATGAAGGAGTTCTTCTAACCAAATACAAAAACTATGCTGATGCACACCTTTTAACCACAGAACAGTGCACAGTCATGGTGCATTTGAGGGAAATATTTTAATGCCTTTATGTTGATATAAGTAAGTTTAGTGTGTGTGTGTGTGTGTGTGTGTGTATAAATTAATTCTAATATATACCTACATAGTGTATAGTATCAAAAAAATCATCGAAAGCAGCAAAAAAGTAGCCAGACACGAATTTGACTGCGTTACTGAGCAAGTTTGGCTTTTTACATTATTACAGTATTTCTCACATTGTCAGTCTTTCAGTCTCATTTGTACATATTCTGTGTAATTTGTTTGTTTTATTGTCAGCAAGTGAAACAGCACCTTCCCAGAGGTATCAGCATGTACCATATTTAGAATAATTTGTTTGTTATTGGTCACAAACCTCTCAGCTATCCGTGTCCTTTGTTTATTTCATTTTAAGTTATTGCTCTGTGTTAACTAGCAGCAGAACCAGCTGGTACTGTGTTTTTAGATGTAAAAAGAAGGAAACGACAGCTGTTATGTTTACTCCTGTGGTCATTATGGAGGAAATACCCAGTTATGTGGCCCGTCGTGGGTAAATACAGAGCAGCGTCTACAACGAATGGTAATGTTTTTTGAGTTTATGTCATTTGTTACAGTCACAATGCTATAACACCGTTCTGTTTTTAGCTATGATGAAGATTCACAGTTCACATTAATTCCTAGCACTGTATGTCACACACATCAGACATATCGTGTAATTATCACATGTATATATAAAGTGTTTATGAAGAAACACTGTCCGCTTGTTTTAATGAAGGTGTTTGAGAAAAAAAATGTTTCACTCTGTGTCTCTGCTCAGGGATCTCAAGCGGTGGGCTATTGCAGAAACTTGTTCACGGAGCGTTTACTAAATTAAAATTTATTTTTGAAAGTTGTTGTATTTGTATAAATTATCGAGCTTTGTAGCCCCATTTTTTCTCCTTTTTGTATTATAAAATGAACAATGTGCCAGAGTAGACCTTTCTTCCCAGTGGTGTTTCTCTTTGTTTTGTTTGTCTGCTTATTTGTTTGTTTGTTTTTCCACAATAAATTGATGGTGTTCTGCTTTGACGAGTGCCTGTGCAGCCATTATTGCTGATAGTGTAGGTCACAGATTGATATTAAGGTTTTGCCAGTCACACTTTGGAGCAACAGCTTGAGTTTTACATCAAATTTCCGTTGTATTAAGCGTTAATGGGGTGATCGTCCATGCTGTGGAACAGCTTTTACAGGGTATATAAAGTTGCCCCCTGTAAATTTGCTAAAATGTGTCATAAAATCAACTCAAATGAATTTCCTCTGCTTTGATCTTTGTACAACAAAGGAGACATGTAAATATTGCCATATGGAAGGGGTAGCAGTGTGGAGCCACATATGGTCGGTGTGTTTCGATTCCACCCGTCCCACAATTCAGACCCCGTTGACAAGTAAAGGGCCTTTCCCTGTGAACGAAGCAGTCTGCCTTGTGATGTTTCTCACATGTTCTGCCTCGAAGGTCTGCGTCCATGAACCGAGCTCACCATGGTGCCCAGATTTCCTTATCGAGCTGGAATGCATGGGCGCTGCTTGCACTCACAGTCCAGTTTGGCTCTTCTTCTCATAACACAGGTGCGCTTCACTTAATCTCTGCATCAAATAGAGAAAGTTGACAGTTTGTTGGGTTGTGGAGTCACGCCGCAAATGTGACGTAGTTTTATTTATTGCTACATGAAACAGTAGGCATTTGACTGTCTTCCCATAGCTTGCTAACTGTGAAATTACACGTCAGCTCACATAGTTACCATTCCCTAAAATAGGGAATGTCATGTTTCCAGTGGAGTCTGCAACCAGACAAGTAGATTTGTATGCAGTTATTAAAACAAGGCAAACATGAACTTCTGATCATAGCACTGGTAATAAGGAAAGGGAATAATAATAAAAAAGGAGGCATGGTGGCGCGGTGATTAGCACTGTCGCCTCACACCTGGCCAGGGTGTGTACACGTTCTCTGCGTGGGTTCTCTCCGAGACGTGCACTTAGTGTGGTTAGGTTAATTGGTAATTCTATATTGTCCATAGGTGTGAATGTGGGTCTGTCTCTATGTTTTAGCCCTGTGACAGACTGGCGACCGTCCAGGGTGTAGCTGTGGTAGCTGGGAAAGGCTCCACCCCCCACGATCCTGACAAGGATAAGCAGATGGAAAGAAGGGAAATGGACAGATTATGACAAGGCACTGAATTTTCAGGAGGTTTGAACAAGTGAGCTGACTAAAATAAATAATGTTTAATAATTGTTTAAATCTGCTTATTAATTATTTCATCCCATTTTTTTAGTCATAGTTGTTTCTGTCTCAAAATACTTAAGAGTAAACATGCACATGTAGGAAAGATGTAAAAGTCTAGAGTTAAAGCAGGTTAACACATGTTCACTGCAGTAATGCACCTGAATCCAGGTTGTGCACCTGCACTGTACAATACTCTCCTCGCTTGTCTGTTAGTGTTGCCAAAACACTTAAGCTAGTGTTCCTAAAATGAGGTAAGAAGACACACAGTGAGCACATAACTTTGGATTTCTGTGTCAGTGGCCTTTAAGCAAACAGTAGTGTTTCTGGGTTCTCGTCTGCCTTTAAAGCTCTCAACACGTGGGTGTTTATGCAAGCACATAATACTGCGAGTTCTCATTAGTACTTCGCAGCTTGGATGACTGTGGTACCAACAAGGCCAAATCACTGACAATGTCATTATGCGGTGCAGAAACCCTGCAAATTGATTTCAATTAAGAGTTTTAGACTGATATAAAGTGACATGGCCGTACCATAAATTATACAGAACTGATTTATATTTCATGCTAAAAGCGACATTTCTTTAACAATGTATGTTAGAATTGCTTTTATATTTAATTAGATGTAAAAATGGTTTCCCTGCTTCTTTTATACGCTCCACATTTCTCTCATTGTAAGAGATAAAGGATTGTCTGAAGCCAGGCCCCAAGGAAATCAGAGTCATATGACTTCTGCTCTTATGACTTTAGTGCGCTTCATTGCTTGATATGACCTCTCGCACTCTCCAACTGTTCAAACTGGGAGAAAGGAATTCATTTTATTATGCTGTGATCTGGCAAATCTGCCTGCTGTTATCAAGCAAACATTTCGTGGTATGTACCGATGGACTATCGCTACTTTGATCTCAAGCACCTGAGCCAGGCGCTCACAGTACCCGACCAAGCTTGTTTGGAGTGGTTCACTGTGCGTGATGCAGAGAAGTCTTCCCCTCTGGACCCAATACCCACTGTTATTATTTGATAAAAGAGGCATTAGGATGAAGCTCCTCCATGAGATCTAGATTTTGCCTCATATTATTGAAGCGTTTTGATGTCCAGAAAGGAAATTGTCTTTCTTTGGCTCCTGTTTATACAGGAGCTACTGTTCCTAAATGCAAAGAGGTAAAATGAGATATGGTAAAGTATGCAGATTCCTTTTAACAACTTCTTTACCTGAGTTTTTATAATTTGTAGAACAAAAAGAGTTAATAAAGGCTAATTGGCACTAAAACCACCATTTTTCTGGTTTTTGCATTCTGCTGATATATTGATTACAGCATATGCACAGCCATACAGAGAACCCAGCATGTCTGTAGACTCTGTCGGCTGTAGTTTTATTTACTGTATTTTTCAGACCATAAGGTGCACCCAATTATAAGGCACATTAAGCGAAACAAAACAGTCAGATAAGTCAAACTTTACTCAACTCATTCTTCTTGCTTCCTCCACTTCCGTACCATTGATTCGTTAATGCTGAATTCTCTGGCAGCTGCTCTATTCCCATGTTGTTGCAGTATATTAATGACTAACCTCGTATTGTGGATGAATTATCTCAGTTGTTCTCCTGACTGAAGTTTGGTCCGTTTACAGCATCCTGCCATGCAATTACATTTGTCCCTAACCATCGGGAACCCTCACGTTAACTTTTATCGAGTGGAAAAAAGTTGGCGTTCATCCTCCAACTTTTCTGTGTTTATGCTATGCTAACATAGCTGTGTAGCTAGCTACCACGTAGCACATCATTATATACCAGCTAGCTCAACTTCAGTAACCCTACAAACGTCACTGCTGTTTAGTTTTCTGTCTTCATTTATGTTGGAAGTGATAGCAGAGCTGTACGTTTGAATTTTTCAGAAAT